AAAATATTTTAAGAAAAATGGAAAAAGTAAACATCTTAGCGCATCTTAGGAAAAACAAATAGGAGATTTGAAAATCAAATTCTTGACAAATTTCCCAGCAATACTTTTCCGGAAAACTAAAACAAAATCGCCGACGACGAGGGGAGGCCTTTAAGCTCGTACCCGGCGGTCGTGGTGCGCGGGCGGCGCGCCGGCGGCGGCGGCGGCGGCGGCGGCGACCACCGCGGTGAGCAGGACGAGCACCCTCATGTCGACGCGGGTGCGGGGACACTGAGCAGCCCGGCGCCAGGCGCCCGTCGACCACATCTTATCGAAATCCCCCCGGGACCTCGATGCATAGAGCCGCCGGTAATGCACGGGGCTTTCTCGGAGGGCTTTCAGACTTCAGCAGCCTGCGTCGAGCTCGGGCTTCCTTCACAGCGCTGCGGAACCCAACGGGCCACTCAGGCTAGACAGCGACCCAGGGATCGGGACAAACACAAGCCCACACACACACACACACACACACACACACACGCGCGCGCGTGCGCGCACGCACGACAACCCTAACACAACCCCCCCCCCCCCCATGGCTTTGTTACTGTGGATGGAGGGTGGTTGAACCCGAATGACATGTGGGTAACAGTATTCACTTGGTCCCACGCGGGAAATAAGGGATTAAAAACATTTGGTTTTACGTCCGTCACATCAGGTTGTTTGGAGCGGTCACAAGAGCCTCTCTGCTTTCTGGCCAGCGGATATACGATCGATAGAGCAGTAGCACCTGTTAATCATATCTACCTGATAAGCCCGCGTGCTCCCGACGGGGAGCCCCAGGATCGCTCGCCCATTCCCCGCGGACCATGGCGTCGTCGTCGACCGCGAGCGCCGCGCTGGCCGTGCTCCTCACGGTAAGGTTGTGTTGGGTTTAGGTAGGGTGCGCGCGTCCAACCCTTCAAGTGGACCAAAGCGGTCTGCTGCCGCCGCCTGCACAGCTGCACGACGGGAATGACGCGGCCGGGCTTGACGTGGGGGATTAGTCATGATCCATGGGGGCATGTTGCGCTCTCGATGGCCGGCATGCTACAAAAGAGAAAAGTGAAACTAAAAGTCATGGCATCATTCTCTGCTTCACAAAATGTATAGCCTCCTGAACATGTTCAGTTCAATCAGTTTTTCTCTGCAGAACCCAATCAAATTTAAAAACCCTCTGCAGCAAAAGGGACGGGGGCGTTTAAAAAAACAAAATCAAAACAAACATATTCTAACCGCCAGGATGTAGTTTCTAGTCAACGTTTCCTCCTTTGTGTTTCTCGTCCGGTTTTATTTTTGCTTGCGGTGTGGTGATCCGTTGCAGACAAGGTTGTAGAGCATTTCTTGGAATTACCCCCAGCGCCAGCGTTTGAAGTGATCCGAACTAACTTTGCTCTCTTGCCGCAGGTCGGACTCGCCGTGCTCTCCCGTGGCGCGCATGGAGGTAATCTCTCGACTGATAACACTTTTTCCTGTCGAACGATCTGAACGGCTCTGTCCGTGTGTGTGTGTGTGCAGCGTTCGTGGTCCGGGCCGGCAGCTCGCTGGCGGACATCGCCTACCCCGGCCAGTTCCCGTGGCACGCCGCCGTGCACGTCGCCGGCGCGGACGCCAACACCCTCCTGGGCTCCGGGGCGCTGGTGTCCCAGCAGTACGTCCTGACCGCGGCCAGCATGTGCGTGAGGGACACGAAGGCGTCATCACTCGGACGTCCAAAAACCAAGTCAGAATGACGTCAAAAACTAACAACTTGAGATTAATTCGGCTTCAAATTTGACTGCAGACTCCCCGAGGACGCGGAGAAGGCCAAGCTGGAGGTGGTTCTCGGCGTCGTCACCCTGCGCCAGACGGGCACCCGCGTGGGGGTGAAGGGGGTGACGAAGCACGACGAGTGGAAGCCCGAGAGCCGGGCGCTGCACGACCTCGCCCTGCTCCAGCTGGAGACCTCCATCATGCTGCCCAACGACAACACCATCGCGCTCGCGCTGCTGCCGCCGAGGTTCTACCGGGGCGCCACCTACAAGGACCAGAGCGTCTCCGTGAGCAGCTGGGGAGGCGAAACCGGTGAGTCTACGGTGTCTACAAGGATTGTTCTTCTCTAGATGATTATTTTTTGGAAATTTCTCAAGATTTTGTTTTAAGTCAGCCTTTTTATCTTAAAAATTTATTTTTTCAATTTTTGCTGGA